AGATACCAACTCCGAGGATTCGACTCTGGAAAAAACATGCGAGCCCGGCAAGAATCACTACGAGCGAGAAGGCCTTCACACATTGGCCTATACCTGTGAAGGCCTACAGCAAGACTGGGTTCTCCAAACGTCTTTAAATGATCTTCAAAATCCGGATGTCCCCCACCTGAGTCCGTTGCCGGGCTGCGTACTGGGTGAGCGAGCGGAGGCCTGGTGGTGCCCGACGCGCGCATCAGGGTCAGCCCCTTCGACACCAGCTGGTCGTGTGCGCTTGGTCCGGTCGTGAAGAAAACATGTTAGATGAATATTGAAATACTGTTGGCTATTATAGAGAGAGAGAGAGAGAGAGAGAGAGAGAGAAGAGAGAGAGAGAGAGAGAGAGAGAGAGAGAGAGAGAGAGAGAGAGAGAGAGACAGAACAGAGACAGAGACAGAGACAGAGACAGAGACAGAGACAGAGACAGAGACAGAGACAGACAGAGACAGAGACAAGACAGAGACAGAGACAGAGACAGAGACAGAGACAGAGACAGAGACAGAGACAGAGACAGAGACAGAGACAGAGACAGAGACAGAGACAGAGACAGAGACAAGAGACAGAGACAGAGACAGAGACAGAGACAGAGACAGAGACAGAGACAGAGACAGAGACAGAGACGAGACAGAGACAGAGACAGAGACAGAGACAGAGACAGAGACAGAGACAGAGACAGAGACAGAGACAGAGACAGAGACAGAGACAGAGACAGAGACAGAGACAGAGACAGAGACAGAGACAGAGACAGAGACAGAGACAGAGACAGAGACAGAGACAGAGACAGAGACAGAGAGAGAGACAGAGACAGAGACAGAGACAGAGACAGAGACAGAGACAGAGACAGAGACAGAGACAGAGACAGAGACAGAGAGAGACAGAGACAGAGACAGAGACAGAGACAGAGAGAGAGAGACAGAGAGAGCGAGACAGAGAGAGAGAGAGAGAGAGAGAGAGAGAGAGAGAGATAGAGAGAGAGAGAGAGAGAGAGAGAGAGAGAGAGAGAGAGAGAGAGAGAGAGAGAGAGAGAGAGAGAGAGAGAGAGAGAGAGAGAGAGAGAGAGAGAGAGAGGAGAGAGAGAGAGAGAGAGAGAGAGAGAGAGAGAGAGAGATTTCTCCCCGCGCGACACCGCGGTCAAGGCGCTTGGGGGGGGGGGGGACAGAGGGGCAACTTGACTCCCGACACCGTAAGTGGAACCCTCCAGATCGCTGCAGATCCCCATTTTGGGCTGGGGATGGGCTGTCGATGTGGAATGTCAATGGAGTGTGGGGTGAACGACGCGAAAAGTGACCAGCGAACGCATGTAATGGTCTGTAGTGTTATCAGTTATCAGTTATACCAGTTATCAGTTATATGTCATCAGGCGAGCAGGAACCACTTTTCAATGTTTCAGTTGAAGGCCCGCTGGATCTATGAACGATGAAACTTTCAAAATAGAAGCATTTTCTTCTTTCACTGTTTCATGCGATGTTTTCTCTGTTTCTTTTCTTCGAAAACACGAACAACCGGAGCTTTTGAACTCGCTCCACGTTTGCGCGTGGTGTTGGATCATGGCGCTTTGGACAATAGCAATGCCAAAATTCATAACATCGCTATCGCTTCGCACAGTGCATGAGGTTGGGTTAAGATGTTCCAGAATTATTGCATGAGAAACGGCAGTCTCCCGATTGAAAGAAAGACATTAATTGAAGTAAGACACGGGTGCCGCAACGCCAGATGTAATGAACCAAAAAAGATTTTGGATGCTGCTGCCCTCAACAAGCCTTATCTTTCCGTGAAGAAAAAAAAGACGGGTTCCAGAAAGTCACGAAATTGCGCCTATATGATGTAGTTGTATCTACATACATATCCATGTTAACATGGCTTATATTTCATGCATAACATTTTGCCAAGGTACAGCATATATCAGTCGGCACATTTTTTTTATTTTCGCTGAGCATTTCTTCGCAACATGGATTTGTCCAAAACCGTACCAGAGAATGCGACATCAAGTTGTTGATATCACTGGCAAATTGATGAGATAGATTCCAGCTGGACCGAAACGAAAAAACAGACCACAGATTTACTCGTAAAAAGTTCAGGAAAAACCGTAACCTGGGTTGTATTGCTGGAGGATATATATATATATATATATATATATATATATATATATATATATATATATATATATATATATATATATATGTATATCTAAACATCATGTAGATTATATTTTCGGTGGGGTCCAATATGGTCAAGGATCTATATGCGTTCCACCGTGCAGCGAATTCAATGTCCAGAGCATGCCTCATATCCGTCGATCTTGGACTGACGTATCTGTGAGATAATGAACAGTGACACGCCATTATCGCATGCTCAGGTGCTCGGCACGTTGACAGTTCTGAAAGTACTGCTGCCAGATGGCTGGTTGGCTACCCGCTAGTCAATGTGATGCTCGTGGCTTGCATGTTCGTCAACGTTTTCGTCGCTGCAGCATGCGATCCTGCCGACCGGTCTGGATATCCGATTAACTCCAACGCCAGCTGGGCCAACATCCACGTGTACCACAACTGCGTGGGCGGCATGCAGACCAGCCAGTTGGAGACGGAGCAGCGTCAGACCTGTGACGAGAGTGCCAGCCCACCGGCCTACACCGGCGCCGTTCTGCCGTGTGACCGTAAGCCCATAGCGTCGCCCTGCGGCGGGCAACCGATAGTGTCGCTGGGTGACGGGCAGCCGATGGTGTCGCTGGGTGACGGGCAGCCCATGGTGTCGTTGGTGACGGGCAGTCGATGGTGTCGCTTGGTGACGGGCAGTCGATAGTGTCGCTGGGTGACGAGCGGCCGAGTGCACTATGTAACACAGCAGCGCACAAGCAAATCCCCGATGGGATGGGTACATGCCCCTTTCCTGCACCAGATGTACGCTGATTGCACAAAACATGGGTGGACTGTAAAACCATGGTGACTTCATTTGCACTAAGCAATGAAGTTTTTTTAATATCGTGCGTGTCCGTATATGCAAGCTTCAATGGATCTCACTTGGCATCTAAATTTGTTAGCATGGGTTGGTTATTTCAGATTTCGTTGTTAGCATCTTTCCTTGCGACAGCTGAGTAACAATGTGATAGATTTGTTTTGCGTCCATCACCAACTAGGCTTTCTGTGTGTAGACTCGGGAGAGCGACCATCGGACAGTGATGTGCACAGGCTTCCTGTAACATCTCGCTGTCATGACTCTGCCAAGAGTGCCCAGGCGGCTGCGGTGGCGCCGAGCATGTGGCGCGTATGCCAACCCTCGCACTTGGTCACGTGCCGTGTTGCATTTGTGCTGTTCATTCGACGTGGTAGCTTCATGAGCACAGTATTTTTGCTGACATCAAAAATCGCTTTCTCACGCCGCCGTCGCGTGAGGCCGCATTCCGGTGCGCCATTCTGGTGCGCTATTCCGGTGCGCCATTCCGGTGCGCCATTCTGGTGCGCCATTCCGGTGCGCCATTCTGGTGCGCTATTCCGGTGCGCCATTCCGGTGCGCCATTCTGGTGCGCCATTATGGTGCGCCATTCCGGTGCGCCATTCTGGTGCGCCATTACGGTGCGCCATTCCGGTGCGCCATTCTGGTGCGCCATTCTGGTGCGCCATTTTGTCTGGCGGCAGCCGACTTGGCCTACAAACCACCGACCATGATGCGGTCTAAATGAGTGTTGCGCCTTCTGAGAGTGTGCCGCGCCTCGGCAGATTGCATCGCGGACCCCTTCGAGCCCGATGACGACTTCACGGCCGTCAGCAGCTGGGACAACACGACACGCAACCTGGGGCATCAGGTTGTCTTCACGTGCCGAAGCGGTCTGCTGACCGCGGACGGCAGGACTAATCAGACGCAGACGTGCGCCATCGGAGGCTGGGTAAGCTGGGCCCGCTGCCCGGAGCACGCTGCCCGGAGCACGCTGCCCGGAGCACGCTGCCCGGAGCACGCCCGACGGCGACGTGCTCGCGAGCGGCGAGTGGGCCGCATCCGGCAGGACGTTCCGCCGACGCGGCGATAGCAGCGCCCGCTCGACCTCTGTCGTGTCGGTTCCCTGAGCTCACCTCGCTGAGGCAGTGCATCTACTAGCCTCGACGCCTGTGGTTCCTCTGAGCCCACCTCGCTGAGGCAGTGCATCTACTAGCCTCGACACCTGTGGGTCCTCTGAGCTCACCTCGCTGAGGCAGTGCATCTGCTAGCCTCGACGCCTGTCGGTCCCCTGAGCTCACCTCGCTGAGGCAGTGCATCTGCTAGCCCTACTTGTTTTGTCGATGCGGGCAACATTCACGTGCGCGTGGTGTGCCGCCTGTAAACGTGGGTGGGCTGCCTTAAGAACCCGCCTACTGAGGTTCCGAGCTCTCGGACTCGTATGAGAGGCACGGCCATGTGGGCCGAGGTGGCCGACGCGGATGAGCCTCGCGGCGTGCTCCCCACCCCGCCCCACCGGGCCGCTTGCCCCGACAGGAGGGGGTCGTCGAGCACTGCTCCGTGTGCGCCTGGTCCAGCGGCTTCAACAGCTCGGTGTTCAGCACGTCCGTCAGCGGGTCCAGCTTCGGACAGCTGGTGGAGATGGCGTGTCCGGACGGCCTGGAGGCGGCGGACGGCGCCGTCAACAGCACCGCCATCTGCACACCGGACAGCTGGGACAAGTGCCACGACTCGTTCAACTGCTCGCGTGAGGCCCGTCCCGCCAGCGTGGCGCCGGTGTCACCCGCCGCTGCCGGACGGCCGCCTAGTGGAAACACTATGATTGGAGGGGCCATGCCAGCTGGGCAAATGTAACCACCTAAGTTGTTGTATCAATTGGCACTAGCATCAGAGTCCTCCTTCAGCAAAGGTCGTTGCATTTGCACTGGCTCATCTCCCACGTGGGCGAAAATAGAATCACAAGCCCGCCAGTTAAATAGCACCGAGCAGGAGGCTCGGGTTTACGAAAACAAATATCCAGCGGACAAACTTGGCTCAGAGTCGACTTATCGTGAAAAAGCCAGGCTGCTACCCTGCAAGGCAGAACATCAGGGATGTAGTTTTCTGGTTTAGATATTCAGGTGCTGTGCAATACTGCAGCACAAACACCGGGTGGTAAAGCATGTTCACCTGTGTTGAGAAATGTAAGGCCTCAACTGAGCCTCACATCTCTGGCATGACACCGACCGGATGCGTCGTTCACTTCCCGCGGGCTAAGACAGTCGCTCTGTAAGCCCTGGTGGGATAGCTCAGCACAGCCGGCGCAGTTAAGGGGTCATTGCAGTGGTTTTGTTTTGTGATCCGTATGGTTTGTATCAGTGGCTGGGCTCATGGTAGCAGCTAATCGTAGCCTCCTGCAATCACCCCGAATCAAACACACAAGTTGCGATTTAATTTCCTTAAATTATCTTGTCTCCACCCTAATGGGAGGCAGGACTGCGAAGAAATCATTCGTTGCAGGGACGTAGGTTCACAAAACGAGTTAGGATGGGGGGGGGGGGGGGGGGTTCAACAGTGAAGTGACCCAACCCGCTCCCAAAATATGCCCAAAACAGGTTTCTCCCCCATATTTGGCACGCTCTCTTCCCAATGTCGGGGTGGGGCCTGGAGCCTAAGTTGGAGAGCGGTGCCGGCGCTTCCATCCCCCAACTGAATAGGAAACTACGCATCATATTTTCTGTCTTGCAGGGTAATAGCCTGGCTGCTTCACGTTCAGTCGACTTTCAGCCCGGATTGTCCGCTGACCTTTCAGACCGTTTCGGGCCATATAACGCCCACGAGGGTTGGACTCGATTCCAGTGTCGCTGGATCACGTGTTTGGACACTTATCCCCGGGCCTGGGCGATGGCAGATGGCAGTAGGGGCAAGGCTGGGAGTGGGTCCCGATGCTTCGAACGACACCTGTTCGGTGCCGGTCAGGTGTGGCCTGGGACGGTACCAGCACAGAACATTCGTCCTGGGGCTTGGCGATGTCGCAGACCAGCGGAGGCGTAGCACTGTCAGTCACTCGCCAAACACGGCTGCGCGATTGTTCGATTCATACGTCACCTTTCGTAGGATTGTCTGGACGGCTAGCCTCAATCTATTGCTAAATCTTCGATTCAGCCCTTTTTATTCGCTGACATCAGAGGTGGGTCCATAGGGGGCCACGAGGCTATGCCTCCCTCACCCCTTAGCCCGGTGGGGCCCATAGACCCCGAGGGGGCCCATAGCCGGTCAAACAGACGCCGACTTTTTACACCAAACGCAACAGAATTGGGCGTCTTTGGACTTTAAGGCGACCAAGAAAAGTCGCAAGCGAAAGTGAAGGGTACCCGAGCAGGCAAAAATAATTTTTTCACTCGTTGGGAGGGTGGCGATTCGGGGATTTTGAGGCTCATTTTGCTGTCCGGAGGCTTAATGTTGTGCCCGGGGGCTATATGTCACTTGCAGGTCTTCAGTATGGTCGCCAAGTCATGATCGCTATGATCGCTAAGTAGCCCTCTACATTGCCCTTGATTTATTTGCATTTGCTCGGCGAGCCCCGCGCTGTTGTGTCCTTGCGAGCGCCAGGGCGTTTCGCCCGCTCATGTGTACGGGCCTGACTAAATTACTTCATGTACACAAGTTCAAGACCGCAGGATGACGATTTCTCCTCGCGCCTCAGTCTTGGAGTAGCAGTCTGATATGCGCCGATGAATTTTTACGCGTAATTGTCTGACGTCATTTTACGCGTCGCCGACGTCGTGCATGCAGTTCCCGCTGGTTATTGAATTTGTGACAGTTATCAAAGCTGTGCATCACGCTCTTCATACATTTGGAATGGTAGGATATTCTGTACTCCTTAATAACAGTCAAAGCAAAAACTCTTCATCAGTCATCAGCCATTAGATGATCACATGGACTAGCTGGTTAGCCATAATTGCCTCGGAATCAGGCTCGTGCTTAATTTTTATGATATTCAGAAGCCACCCTGACTGCATTTTGCCATGTTTTTCTTCGAAATACGTAGCCTCAAAATGACAGGATCCACCATCATCTGCCGCAAATGTACAGGCGCCATGTATTTGCATGCGTAGCGTGCCTTGTTTTCTAGGGCTGCGTACAGTAAGGCGGGTTTCCGCCTAAAAATATATCATAATGTGCAAATAAGAGTCTTAAAATTTAATGGTCAGGGCGAGGATTTTTTGCGGAGGGCCCCCAAACTCCAATGGGAGAGCCACAATGTTGCGTGCCCCCCCCCCCCCTTGACGGTGTCCTGGATTCGTCTCTGGCTGACATCCTATACTGAAACGAGTTACTCGCAAAATCGGGACCTGGGCCCTCATCAGTGCAACATTCTGTGCTATAAGTAAGATCGTGACTCATTCAGTTCACCACGCCGCGCGCAAATGACAGTCATGATGTCGGTCGCTGTTTCAGACTGTCGTGGTGAGCCGTCCGGCGCTGCTGTCATGGGTTTCCTGGACAACAACTGGGACGGGTCGCGGGACTTCGGAACAGTGGTGACCTTCACGTGCCAGGACGGCATGTCGACTGCCCAAGGAGACCGAGCGCAGACGCAAAACTGCACTGATAGCGGCTGGAGAGGCGAAATACTGCCGTGCAACAGTAGGTTTACGCGCCTCTATCCGGTGGCCGTTGACACCTGTATGCCCTGTTTGTGAAACGGGAAGGACAGAGCGGGTGAGGAGCGTGCGCTGCTTCCCCGCATTTGGCCCATGCAGGTGTATACCACGGGATGATTTTACGAGAATGAAGATGTTTTGGCGCTAATGTTTTCGCTGCAGCTGCCTCGGAGCACGGCCGACGCATCAAAGCCGCGCCTGTGGGAATGTCGTTGGCCCGAGCCAGACGCTCGCACGTGTGAGGCACGCTCGCCTCCCGGTCAAATGACGTCATTGCCCTACAGCCGTTTGGTGTCAACGTCTTACCTGTGCAGCTGGTTGGAGTGGGTGTAGACATCGGCGCAAAAGACAGCGGCGTGGACGTCTCGCAGCCGCCGACGGGTGCCGACTGAGGGCGCCCTGTCTCTGCCCCAGCGAGGCGTCGGCCCCACGCTAGTGAGAGACCGGCGTCACCTTCCTCCCGCAGCCTGTCTGGAGCAGCCGTTCAACGCCAGCAGCCTGCCTGGTCTAAGCATCGCTTGGAACGAGTCGCGCGCCGCCGGTGTCGTCGCCAACTACACGTGCAGTGACGGCACGTCGACCAGGGAGGGCCGGCTCTGGCAGAGCCAGAACTGCTGGCTCGGCTGGCAGGAAAGCATTTTGCCCTGCGACGGTACGCGGGCCCGCAGGAGCTGGCCACGTGCTCTTGGACATTGGGAGGAAGTGGAGGGGCTTCAGTGGGTGGCTGGCGGCGCGGTGGTGCTTCGGTGGGTGGATGTGTAATGTGTGAGGTCCTCCTCCTCAAACGGCGCCTGTTTCTCCAAGAGATCACGTCTCGGAATATCGCGGTCTCAGCGCAAAGCGTGTTCGGATCATTCGCTTGTGCTGGCTCCCCGCAAGTATTGGCGCGAGAGGTGGTCATGCTTATAATTACGATGGCTAAATGCGATGCCAAGGATCTCCGTACGTTTAGGGGCGAGGCGCGTCCGTACCAGCCGACGTCGTTCTGGGGGTACCGTCGCGCGTCGCACTGCTTTCAGCCGCGGCGCGTGACCGACCGCCGCGTGACGTGGAGAGCGGCGCGCGATCTCCCCGCCGGCGCGGTCTGCGCGCGTGACTCGGCCGCGGTGTGACGTGGAGAGCGGCGCGCGATCTCCCCGCCGGCGCGGTCTGCGCGCGTGACTCGGCCGCGGTGTGACGTGGAGAGCGGCGCGCGATCTCCTCGCCGGCGCGGTCTGCGCGCGTGACTCGGCCGCGGTGTGACGTGGAGAGCGGCGCGCGATCTCCTCGCCGGCGCGGTCTGCGCGCGTGACTCGGCCGTGTCGTCCGCAGTGTGCACCGGCGACCCGGTGAACGTGACCGGTCTGCGCACCATAGTCAGCGACTGGGCCGGCAACTGGTCGATGGGCAACATCGTCACCTACACATGCCAGGCGAACCTGAGCACGGCCGCCGGCCAGACGCTGCAGCACGTCAACTGCACCCAGGACGGATGGGTCGGCGACATCCAGCCCTGTGACAGTAAGCCACTATCCAGCTCACCGAGACCCTGGGTCCTGTTGGCTCCTCAACCAGGAATGGAGTTGCTTCGTGTTGGCTCACTCAACACTCGCCTAGGGTGTTTTTTGTGCATACTGTTCATTGCCCACCGAAGCGTATCGGCGTTGCTTGACTTCCGTCACTACGAATATTTCGTGAGCCTGTGGAATATCTTAGAAACCGCCTCGAAAATAAAACTGTGCGCATGTTCACGCAGTGATGTCTGCTCCACGACATCCGGTGTGGCCGGATGCTTATTCGCCCCTCGTAGTGGCGACTGTGCCCTGCTGAGGGGAGCCGGGCCCGCCGAGTGACCAGCGGGCCCGGCGGCGGCACCCCCGCCTCACTGCTCCCCCCTGTCGACAGCGTGTCCGCCGCCGCCGTCGGGTAACCACACCAGCGTGCGCCACGCGAACCAGCAACGGAACATGGCCAACCGGCTGGGCTCGGTGGTCACTTACCACTGCCACGACGGCCTGAGCACGGCTGACGGCCAAACCCATATTCGGGCGGTGTGCGAGCTGGGCGGCTGGTCCGTCTGCGAGGCCGAGATCGAGTGCAACTGTGAGTGGGCTGCGGCGGGGGTGGTGATGTGTCGCCCGCTGCCCGTCTGCCGAGCGCGCGCTGCTGGCGCGGGATGTCGCGCAGCTGGAGGGCTTGGCCACCGCCGGCGAGGCTCGTGCCTGCGGGGAGAATCTCCGCTTTAGGGGGATTATCGTGCGATGGACGCGCGACGGACATCGTCGTTTAAGCGCCATGTGGCATCGGTGGATGTGCAGGACAAGCCAGGTCTCGTCTGAAAGTCTGGAATGTCCCACGTCCTCGTCTTTATGACATCCGCGTCCGTCTCTGTCCGCCACCGACGATGTGGCCCGGCGCAGCTGTCGGGTTTGTGGTGCAGTTTGGCGGTCCGGGGGCTGCGGCCGGCTGCTAGAAGCGGCCGTGGTGGCGCCGCTCGGTCAGCGGGCGTGGCTGACCCGCTCCCTCCCTCGCGCCGGCAGTCTGCTCGCCACTGCCGAGCGTCTCTCGGTTCGGCGGCACGCTCACCTGGGACTACGTCGGCGACGACCAGCTCGGCTCGACGGCGACGCTGACGTGCGCCACTGGCCTGGCCACCCCGCGGCTGGAGACGGTGCAGACGCTGGTTTGCGGCCTGGGCGGCTGGAACGTCTCGGCAGCGCTGCCCTGCTCCAGTCAGTCGAACAGTGCCCGCCGCATTGTCCTCCAACGGTGCCGGCTGGCCGTACGGCCGCTTTTTGAGGACATTACGCTTTCGATCCCATAAAACTGGCGTTCCTTGCCAGTCCTGTGCCTTGTGGGGAACTGTTGAGACTATCGGACACTGCCGACGCTTTGTCGGACACACTGTGTGACGTTTTGTCGGGCACATTGCAGTACGGTGATTTGTACTGGTTTGCATACATATTCGTCTTAACTTTTTCTGCTGTTTCAATGCCGGCAATGTGACTTGGTAGAGTCATGATGTCAGAGCCCAATGAAAATGCGCGACAGGTTTAAAAATATTTTTGAGGTAACAGCGTGTCTATTGTGCATTCAAGTCAGGTGCATGGAATGAGGCCTGCTCGCGAGCATACCACCAACTGGGCTGTACATTCTCACAGTTGATGTTGCGCCCTTTACGTCAGATTGAAAGTAACGACTGAGCGTGAAATTGCTTGTTAATGGGCGAAATTCCAACAAACACCTCTGGAAATCACGGATGGCAAAAGTCGAAATAGATCTAGAAATATTTTGAAGATGTTGGTGCCATAATCACCCCTGAAACTCGAGCAATGCGGTCTCGGCGCAGACGAGATTCGCCCATTCTCTATTGCGCCGACGCCCCCATTCGTCACGCATGTGTTGCGGTCCGTCCTTGACGGGTGTCGCCGGCACTCCCGACAGTCTGCACCGACCCGCCACCGGCGGCGCCACCGTCGCTCAAGCCCAACATCACCTGGACGCTGGGTAATGAGAGCGCCATCTACGACTGTCTGGACGAGAAGTCGTTCAGCTGGGGGCAGCGCCATTTCGAGCTGACCTGCTCACCCGAAGGCTGGGCCTGCGTGCCCACCTGTGACTGTGAGTCTTCTGCTTGTGTTGGCCGGCCGTCAGGGCGCGAGGCTTCAGGATTGGGAGGTGCGCCTCCGTGCGCACGGGGGCTCCTTCATCCGCGACGGCTGAGTCGCGGCGTAGCAGTAACTTATTTTCTGCCACCGTGTATCATTCCGGCGCCGCGTTGTTCGGCTGTGTATGTTGTGGGCAAAGCCTCGCCTGGTAAGTCTACGAAAACGATCGTGAACTGTCAGGCTCGAAACCTGCCATCGTGAGTTCGTCGGCAGTTTAAGGGGCATATTCGTGAGTCGTGGGATTACAAGTCTCAAGTCTGCCAGCGCCACGCTTGTAGCCGCCCCTCAGAGAATTTAGCGCGGTTGTGAGCTCCACTGCGACTACCCCTCGCGCCTGGTTATGCGTCTCGCAGCCAGGCCCCGGATGTGAGTTGCCATATCGTTCTAAAGCCGTGCCAGCCGCTTGTCCCTGGTACGTCGCAAGTTTCCACATGTTTCTTCCCTGTTGAACTTCATGGTTCCATTGTTCCGGTAGCAGCGGTTCTCTGGAAACGATAAAACTGTGATGGCATTGTTGTCTCAACAAGAGACGAATGTAAAAGAAACGTACTCTTCAGCGGGCGCTGCCATCATGTAGGCTTTGTGACTATAGAAGCACCGCAAGCATGCCGCCGTCGCCGCAAACGTGACAGCGCGCTGCGTCGGCCGTGCGTTAACGGCCGTGCCGGCGCTGCCCAGACTGCCTGGAGCCGGCCAGAGGACCGGCAGGCACCTACCTGGAGACGTTCGGCTCGCTGCCGGGGACCACGGCCAAGCACGTGTGTGACCCGGGTCTGCAGACAGCCACCGGGCGCACGGTCCAGGAGCCCGTTTGCGGCGAGCCCGGCTGGGTCGGCGAGGTGCTGCCCTGTGATGGTGAGTCGTCCACGGCCGCAGCAGCCCATGTGGGGTCGCTGTGAGCGCGCCCACTGCTACGGATGGTGTGGGCGTGATGTCGTGACCAGCACTACAGCATAGTGGTGAGTGAGTTGCTGTCGTGTGACGCCGCTGCTGTCCTTCCGTCGCTGCAGATGCCCTGATATAGCGAGGGCTCGTCCAAGTGCTTTGGGCTGCTATTTACCGACTCCGAGCGTCGATGTGCTGCGTTTGACATTCGTGCCCGGGCCAATCTCAAGATCGACCTTCGTGTTGAGCTCAAAGCCAGTGATCGCCTCGACGAACGGCATCTCTGGGGTCATGCGGGGGGCACCCGGCGTTTCGGTCGTCCTGTGCGAGACGGCCTCAGTAGCCGGCACGTGCCCCAGACAGGCGCCAGCGACGCTGATGGCAATCGTGCGCCGGCAGAGTGTGTGGGAACCCTGGCGGCCCCCGGGCCCGGCCAGACCCGCAACGTGTCGGGCAGCAACTCGACCACCAGCAACTCGACGCTTGGCACGTTCGCCGAGTTCTTCTGCGTGAAGGGCAAGGAGACGCGCAGCAACGAAACCTACCAGACGCAGAACTGCACGGCTGCGGGCTGGACGCCACCGCCCGAGCCTTGCGACCGTAAGGCTTGATCCGGTGCCGGCCCTGGCTCGGAGCCCCGCCAGGCCGGACCGGAGTCGGCCGCTCACTGCCTGCCGGCGGAATGCGTTGTGCTTGTGGATAGTAGGAGGGGTGTTCAGTGGTCTGTCGAGGGTACATGCTATCTTTGTTGGAGTTTTCAGTCGTGAGCACTGACACCTGCTGGTGTTTTGCGAACTCAGTTTTTTTACACTTGTGTAACCGGTAGCATCTGCCGATCCGTATCCGTCCACCTTTCTGAGACTTGCATGATTTTAACAACTCGTTCTCACAAATAAGTATTTACACATTTACCCATTTTGATCTTCATTTATTTACGCATCAGCCGCCGTGTCGTCAACGTTCCCGTGGGATCTTAGTATGCGAACTGACGCCCACAGAAGGTGCTGCAGCAGCCGTGCCCTAAGTTGGCGGCTCGTGACCCACGCGTGTGACCTGTCGCCAGTGTGCGTGCGCCCACCGGAGCCGCACTTCCTGATGACTCGCGCATGGGACGGTAACCGGACCGTCAACAGCAGCGCCACCTACACCTGTGGCGACGACATGACCACCATGTCCAACAAGTCGGTCCAGGTGCTGGAGTGCACTGACGTCGGCTGGAGCGCCTGGCTGGAGCCCTGCGGTGAGTGCGGGTGACCCAGAGCTCCGGTCGTCGTCCGCACACGTTCGCCATGGTCACCTGGGGCGAAATGGCCAGGCTGACGCTCCTCAGGTGTGGGATATTCTGTCTCCTGCCCTATTCAGCTTACAGAACGGCATCAGGTCTCTGTCGTATACTGAATGTTCGGAAATCCGGAAAGGCTCTGGACAGCCCCTGCTTCAAGCGATGTCTCCAGCCAGGCGTCAAGATGATGTCACCATGTCAGCAAATTTCATTCTGTCCTCGTCGCCAGCCGCATGCAAAATGGACATCCCGTTTCCTGGCAACGGCACCATGGAGCGAAACGTGTCTTGGGACTTGGGCCGCTACCCGGGCGCCGTGATCAACTACACCTGCCCGAACGGCCTGGTGCAGCAGGTCTACTGCATTGACCGCAGCTGGGTGCCCTCGGAGATGCCAGCCTGCGGTGAGATTACCTGACCTGCGGCCGCTCTCTTGGCAAACGGCACCGTTGTATGCACAGAGTGCGGTTTTTAGATTGCCGCCAATATTGCCGCCGAACACGAATCTAAAAATGTTCTTTGGAGACGTCTTCAATTGTTTTACATCTCACCAGCTTTCAGCGTGCAGTTCAAGGTCTGGTTCCGATCTGTCGACGTGCCACGTTAATCTCCCCCCATGTGGCCAGCCAATGTTATATGATTTGCGCAGTGTTCCATTCGAACAGCACCCGCCCCGTACCGTTCGACACGCGTTTCTGCTCCTTGCGCCAGACCAAATATATGCCTTGTCCATTACCCCCACCGGAACCCGTACTCCTGCAGTATGCCGATGGCTGAGTGTGAGCAGTGTGGTGATGGTGCCGGCGAGTGAGTTTGGAGTGCAAGAGGTGCGGGCTGTGTCAGCATGTGAAGAAATGGTCATGGATAGTGTGCATGTATTTTATAAACGTTTTCAGACTAGGCAGATCAACACGTCCCGTGAGGAGCATGGAGTTGGGTAATGCACGAGTGTCTGATCGTATATGTCATGGCACATACCTATAGATATGATAAACGATCACGTACGTGCAGTGTGATGACAGTTTCCGTCGAGTCATCCAGCTTTCTAATGTCTATGCAGAAACTCACACTTATGTCATGAACTTTGTATTGAAAATCGTATCCAGTGCCGAAGCATCACATTGCTGTCAAGTGTCACTTGATTAAGCAAATGTAAAGGCTGCGATAGTGTAAATTGGTAGGGTATTTGCCGAGTGTCATCCAGCCCTGTAATGAACATTGATACATTCCCAATATCTGCTTTGAGGGTGAACCCACTACGCAGCAACCAGTCCGACAAGAGTGCGGTGGATATCTGCCGACTGGTCGGTGGAGTCGGGACTTATGGCCATCCACTGACCTGTGGCCACCCTCCGACCTGTGGCCATCATCTGACCTATGGCCATCGTCTGACCTGTGGTCATCCTCTGACCTGTAGCCATCATCTGACCTATGGCCATCGTCTGACCTGTGGTCATCCTCTGACCTGTAGCCATCCACTGACCTGCGGCCGTCCTCTGACCTGTGGCCATCCTCTGACCTGTGGCCATCGTCTGACCTGTGGTCATCCTCTGACCTGTAGCCATCCACTGACCTGCAGCCGTCCTCTGACTTGTGGCCATCCTCTGACCTGTGGCCATCCTCTGACCTGTGGCCATCTTCTGACCTATGTTCATCCTCTAGCTTGTGGCCATCCACTGACCTGTGGCCGCCCTCTGACCTGTGGCCATCCACTGACCTATGACCGTCTTCTGGCCTGAGGTCATCGACTGGCTGTCCGTCGGAGAGGCCTGCAGATCAGCCACCTGACGCGACCTTCCAGCTGCCTTTCAGAGAAAGCAGAGGCCCCACAAGAGGCCACAAATAGACCCACAAGCAGCACGGGGCGCTGGGAGACTTCCCCCTTCCTGCAACGATGATTCAGCATTGTGTGCCCAGCACCTTTTGATGTGTCTAAATAGGGAAGTACCGTCTGTCGACTGAAGTGCAGCCAGACCAGTGCAGTGCACAGTGTTACGCGCGCAATAGGCGGCGACCAGGTAGTGAATCAAGGTCGCCGCAGGGCACACGCCGGCCAAAGCACCGTGACCGGAAGAGGTCCGCTTGCTAAGACGCCTGTTGACGTGCGGGCCTACCGTTCGTGAGCAAGCAAAGGCCATGAGCCTCGTGTGTCGCTGTGTGATTTTACAGATTGCGCTGTACTGTACAGGTAGAATGCAATGTATATCAAGCGGTTCCACGTGACTCTTCCATTTCAATTACGTGTTACTGGTGTATAGTGTATAGCGTTTCGACGGCCGCCTACAATGCCCTGGCTTTCAACAGCCAGACATGAGCATGTCAGGCGCCTTTTATCATTTTCTCATACTTATCACTCATGATTGGTATCATCAGCCGTCTACTACGCCATCTATTTCCTCAGAGGCTTGTCATTACTGTTATTATGTTAATAAATCGCATGTGCAACGAACGGCCGTGCACAGCTTGTCGCATTGCTTGTACCTCACTCATAGCTTTAATAACTATGGTTTATATGGTTTATAAGCGCATTGGGTGCGAAAACCATCCCGCAAATTGCGTGTCTGCCAATCTGCCAAGTGAATTGACTATGAATGAATCCTACAAGTGCCAAAAAACGGAAGTCGGTGCCTGGATCTGGTCCGGTGCACGCGTCATATCGAGGACAGTGTTCGTTCATCTTAGGTGGCGACGTACCGTTGACATTGGAATGGCGCTTAACACGCACTCGGTGCTGCGCATGCCGACGCAGTGAATGTCAAGGCCCTGCTGTTCCTGATATTTCTTCTCTCTGGGTGTTCTCGAAACGGCGAGAACTGAGAATATCCAAGACGTGACACAGGTTCTTAGGCGTGTTTAAAATGCGGGCGAGTATGAAATACCGCGTAAATACGCCGGTGGATTGAAAATCGTTGGTCACCATTGCTTATATGCATTTAGACGTTGCCAACGCAGCGCCAGTTAAGGCATGGTCTATGATGAAGTTTCTCATTCAGATGGAGGGCGTCCAGCCCCTCTCACCTCCCCCAAGTCCGAGAGGAAAGTGGGCCAAACTCAGAGAGATCCCGTTTGTTGGCTACTTTGGGCAAGGATCTCGTCATTCTCCACCGCTGAGTTTCACCTGCCAACTTTTTTGCGAAGCTACGCCCCTACGTTAAGCTATTAAGAACATACTTCAAACAACACATCACTCAGAACATATGCATTTATTCGTCATTACCACATTGTTGCAAAGTCCTCATTACCACGTCGGCGCGTCACGGGTACGATTTCTTTCTATGCTTCGATTTGCTTCGCATGCCAGCAATCTATACCAGGCCGGAATTTCCCGAACCATCGAGATGGCATCAAGCGAACAATTCGCGTGCCAATTCCTTCAATACCCTGCAATACACTATCACGAAACGCGGCGCCAATCACGACACCCGGTACTGGCGAGAGAAGACGTCACATTGCTTTCATAACTAGCGCCGCCAGTCACGCCACGGAAGTGACCCGCCGAAAACGGCCGCAGGCGCCTACCACTTCGCTGGCCACCACAGTTTGCATCGAACCACGTGCCCCAAATCACTCAAACAAGTGTCACTATGCGCCATCCGCGCCAGGATCATCTAAGCTTACACAAGCCACCTTTTGCACTGACTCTCTCAAAACTGAGCCGCTCGCCAACCAACCTAGGCGTCAGTTACTTGTCGGGCCCGGCCGACTGTACGGCCGCGCTCAGCCGGTCCTCTTCCGCCTTCTGCGCGCGCAGCTGGCGGTGCCGCTCGATCGTGCGCCTCTCGACCGATTCGCCGGCCTTGGCGCGCTCCTTGCCCGTATAGACCATGCCGATCGCGGCCAGCACGGTGAGCGCGATCATCAGCAGGTTGATGCGGATGCGGAATCGGTTGCGCGACTGCACCACCGTCTGGTACGGCAGCATGGCCGGAACGTCGTCCACCGACTTGTAGCGCTTGTCCCAGACCAGTGTCTTCTTGTCCAGGTAGTGCACTCGGACCATCTTCTGACTTGTATCTGTAGCAAAGACTACAGGTCGGAATCTGGGTTGCTTTTAAGATTAAGATGAAATGGCTATCCTGTGGTCAGGTTGTGTCCAATCTAACACATTATACCAATAAGAATTTGCATGGAATTCATGGGATTTGCATGCACTAAGATCAGGAAACACTCATTCAGCACCCTTTTTCATGTGTCCTCTGCTGGTGATGGATTTTTGGTATGGCTTTGGAGAGCACACAATTGCCAGCCAGATTGTAAGTAAAATACTGAAACTAGTAACTGTGAAATTTCTTTGCAGACCTTTAGAATTTCAGATGGACCGTTTATTCCTTCTAAAATAACACTAATGCCTTTGAAAAATGTCATGTTGCCAGCCATATCACAATTTAGACTAGATGAGAGCAAGCTCTTGAGCAAAGAGATTAAGAACAATTCTCATGAAGAAAGCCAAATGGAACACCATGTTTCAACACTGCCCCAGCAAAACACTGTTTTACAATGCATTCATCATATCTTGTCACAGAAAACCGCAGTCAGTTATGCAAATTGCAAAACATTGTGAAGGGATATGAAACCACTGGATGGGAGCTAGGTTTGAACCCAGCCTCAAATCAGGCCAGTTTTGTCAGGCAGATGCTCTCCCTACTGAACTGCAATGATGCTCTAACCTTAATTTAACAGGACTTGAATTGTGTCATCATTACGAGCTTGTGTTTCTTGTTTGAAGGGATGGAACCCACCAAATTTTTACATGTTTCCAGAACACACTAATGGTTTTCACAAAAAGGTATTTTTCAAAACCAAATATGTTTATGTTACACAGTCAATGTCTAATGTCATGATGCCATGGACCTCACCTAGATCAGCTGTTGGCAGAACATAAGTGATTATTCTACCAGGTTCGCCTCTGTCAAGACCAGTGGCCAGTGACTTTGAAGTCTGTGTGGGTTAAATCACTGTCATGGATGAAACCAAATCAGAACTGGCTTGTGCCAGTGCTGGTTGGTATTGCACCCAAGTGAAAATCCTGCCCACTTATAAAAACATATGTAAAAAATTGTACTAGTCTGCAAAAAAGCATGTTACCCAAACATGTCTTGCATACCAGCAGCATCCCTGCAATAATTTCAGCAAATTGGAGACGCATATAGTAAATCTGCGAGCCCCTAGTTTGGCACACATACACAACCAATTTCAGCACATGGTTTTTTCAGCATAATAGGCTTACCAAGAAATGACGGTGTTGCTTTGAAAGGTGTAGGTGTACTTTCCTACCTACCATTAGAAAAAAACATTGCACACCATTCGTCGTGTTTAAGGCGGCACATATCGTAACTAATCTCAAAACAGGTAGAATCATGCTCCTACCCTCGAACTTCAATAACTTCGATGGCGGCCTCCCGAACGCCGCGCGCACCGCACCGCCTGGACTCCCCAGCGCCGTTTCTGCGTTGCCGTTGCGTAAATACAATATTTCTGCGTACCAAGAACTCTACAAAACGTACGGGACCAAGGTAAACCATTCGTCGTGTTTAAGGCGGAACATATCGTAAATAATTTCAAAACAGATAGAATCATGCTCCTACCCTCGAATTTTAATAAATACGATAGCGAGCTCCCGAGCGCCGCACGCACCGCACCGCACCGCCTCGACTCCCAAGCGCCGTTTCTGCGTTGTTGCGAAACCTAACCTCATTTTGCTTGACATTCCCCACCCAATCCCCCTGCAACCCATGGTCCCGTTGGCGTTGAGGATCAAATTTCATGGATTCTTGTTACCTTGGCCCGGTACATTTTTATGGTTCTTGATGCTGCTTGATGCGCAGTAATGTTGTGACCCACGCAGTAATGGCGCCGGGGTCGCGGGTGCTGTGTGTGTGCGGCGCTCGGGAGCTCGCCATCATAATTATAAAAAATTGAAGGTAACATCATGAATCTACCTGTTTTGTGATTATTTATGATATGTCCTGCCTTAAACACGACGAATGGTTTACCTTGGTCCCGTACATTTTGTAGAGTTCTTGGTAAGCAGAAATATTGTATAAACGCAACGGCAACGCAGAAACGGCACTGGGGAGTCCAGGCGGTGCGGCGCGTGCGGCGCTCGGGAGCCCGCCATCAAAGTTATTGAAAGTCGAAAGTAGGAGCATGATTCTACCTGTTTTGAGATTATTTACGATATGTCCTGCCTTAAACACGACAAATGGTGTACAATGATTTTTTCTAACGTTAGGTAGGAAAGTACACCCTGACCCTTTGAAAGTGTCAGACAGAGGTATTTCCAAAACATATTTTTGACACAACTAAGCTGAAAATTAATCACACTTTAACCTGGTTAAAACTTGACACACTTATGTCTCAGGCCCAGTACACATACGTCACCTAACCATGTGTGAAAAAGGCGCATACTGTTACCAAAAACTAGGTAGTCCATCTCATTAAGAGGGCATCCCCCTTTTCCACAAGACACACCAATGTCATACCATGTGATGATGGCTCTGCAGAATCCTTTGATTCCTCATTTGGATTTGGTCCCTTTGTCAAATCCTTTGAATCTGCATTTATCGTAGGTGAAGAAGAAAACGTCCTCGCTTGCAGTGCATGCCGAAATGTTGAATTGACATCGATCTTCAGACCGTCGCGAAAGCATAGCCGAGCAGCATTAGAAGCAGTTGTAATAAACTGCAACCTCAGCATTTTCTCTTGTTAGACTGATGGTCTCGTGCACAACCTGTTCCCATACAAAGACACAGCTCAGGTTGCACCCAGGCAATCTTGGTGTAATGGGTCAAAGGCCGAGCGGAGATGATATAACAACGGGCACGTAATGATGCAATATCCAAAGCAGGTTAATAAAAACACGGGATTGTACATGAAGCCAGTGCATATTTTGTCAAAGCTGCGCAGTTTATGAAACCAGAGCAGGAGTGTTTTACAAGAAAACCTTTCACCGAAGTTTTTATGCTCTAAATAAAGACCGTTTCTAAAACGGATAACGAACTGGAGATGCATTTGGACGGCCTAATTAATTATAATGTAATTTTATCACGAAAAAGGTGCCCATATACACACCTGAAAATACAGTCCTGACGAGGTAGTCATGGCCTCATGGATATTGTGCACAGTGGACCACCTGCAAGCACTCGGTACTCGATGTGTATTGGGCATTGGCGTCAGGTTGTGGGGCCGATGGGCGTGGAAGGTAGGTGGGGGGGGGGGGGGGGGGGACGTTGCTCGTATTTCTGTGGAATTTGTTCATGACAAAGATGAAATGCGTAATCCTCCCAAATATATGCAAGCAATTGGCTAATTGGCAATTGGCTTGCAATTATGTTTGTTTTTGCTATTTTGCTAATTATACTACATTTGTTTTATTGTCTCCAGTACAGAGAATGAAATGTCAGTTTGCGTCGTCGGTTCCTGGTGGTATGGCTGGAAAGTATTTACCCATTAAAAAACCCTGATGTTAAGATGCACTCAATGTGTGGTACTTTTAAAAACTAAGTGTGGCAACCTGAGGATGGTAGCAACCTAAACATTTTTTTTCCAATTTTTCCAATTTTCCAAATCCAATTTGCATGCATGAGCATGCAATTTCAAAGCAAACTCTGGAATGCAATTCTGCTAGGGACCTCCCCATGCATAACTAAACCACTTTTGCACTGTAAGCCTTGCTCTTGTATTGTTATTTTCCCACCACAATATTTGTGCTATTGGACCAAGGAATGAAATTAATTCAATCATGTAGGCCATAGAAGGCTTTGATACATGTGGAACCTGTTGTTGGGTATGGGTAGTTTGTGTGGTAATCAAGCTGACTGAATATAGGCTTTAGAACTTCTGGTCCATGGGAAATTACATCTGGATTCATAATCACACTATGAAGCTAGATGGATTGCAGCCTACACAATTGAAGTTCCATCATGACATGTGCAGACCATCCTTTTGCTACTTCCATTTGCACTCTTAGCACACAAGCATGCATTGACTGTAATCATGGTTGTGTGATTCCTACTAAGTAATGTGAATAGCAGTAGGCTTGTGATTGCTACCTGTTTGTGTGGATGGGAATACTGGAGGGATGGTTGCTGCATGCCATGTTAGATTTTTGAGAGATTGCAGTTTTATGGAAATTCATAATGTGGCCATGTTACCAGGTGGAATTGGAAGAGCATTTTCATGGAAATTCAAGCCATTTCACACCCCACTTAGTATGGCTCAGTCACAGCAGCTCATTCATCAGTCACTTGGGTGGCAGGGATATCAATGCTTCATATTATGGCACCCAAAACTGGTGGTTCACTGCCTGTTGCCCATCCACTTGCTCAAGATTGGTCAATCAACATCAAACTGAATGGCAGTCAGCACAGCATCAGGTGCCTTAGCTGGGCGTATCAGCCAGGTTGGTCATGTCATTGTCTGTGGTTCAAAGAGTGAGGAATTAGCAGCCAACAAATTGGTGTGCTAACCATAGGAGAGCCAGAAGTTGCTCGCATGAATCTATATTTACCTTCTGCACACCCTTTTTGGAGAAACTTTGGAATGCCAGCTGGTTGTGACTACCTGCTGAGATTACCTGCCATAGCCAGTGCTGCCTGGAGTGAGAGTGTGTGAGGGTCCCAAAAGGTTGCTGCATAACTGTGGGCACATGGGAGTTGGTAGTGCGCTGCGCTCATCGGTCGGACATTGACAGGAGTAATGTACGTGAACAAGAACATCATGTCATTCAGATACTCCCAATCCAGTGAATTAGCATGTACTAAAGCATAGGGTAAAGTCAGCTTGTCAACTTTTTTAAGGACCTAGTCTCAGCATAGAACAGCGCAACAGCTCCTGCATTTTAAGCATCAGTTAGGAGGCGCCGCCACCAAGCGCCGGCCGAACGCCAATCCTCCATGGCGGGGGAGCGGTTGGTGTTCCTCATTTTGTCGCGCGGCTCCCGCACAATTTGTTTCACATGCCACAGGTTTTCACGTTTTTAAGCTATTTGGCGTAAAAGGCATTTCTGGTCTGCACCGATGTCAGGAGGCCCTATGCTAGAGGTCAGGGGCATGTTGCTTGATATCCTACCATGGCGACGCTTCAAGTGAACTGTTACTTGACATTGCGTGAAGACGGGCCCACGTAACATTGACCATTGGGTATCGGTCTGCTCTATCGTGTTTAATCCTCCACTAAGATATGTCATGTTCGTTGCCACGGGTGGGGGAACAATTGTGCTAGCTAGAAACACTGCGCGGAGTTGCCATCACACATTACAACATTATTATGTCGGAGTATGGGTATACTCTCTGAAGGCCACTGTAGAAGCCTTTGAAGTTGTATACGTGATGCTTTTGTTTAAGGGATTCGTAATTTACTCTGGGTGGGCTGGTGGGCTGGGCTGAGGTGGGCTGCCGTCTTTAGTGGCAGCCATGCCGTCGCTGCCATGCCTGATGCCGCTGTCTGTGTCCGTCTCAGGCTGCTGAGGTGGGCTGCCGGCCGGGCGGCCGTCTCCAGGGGTCGCCATGTCGCCGCCGGGCGTGCCCGAGCGCGTCGCGCGGCCGCTCATCGCCCCCGGCAGCGAGTTCCTCTGCGGCTGGGGCGCCGCCTTTATCAACATCACCATCACCTTCCCCATCAACAAGATCATGTTCCGGCAGGTGAGCCGGTGGTGTGCTGGCCGCGGTGCTATGGCTGGCTTCGTTTTGGTGTGGTGGTTACTCTTTCGAGTGATCCCAAATCAGTATCGCCAACAGCAGGGTGCGTTGATGTGGGCGCCATTAACTTTTACGCTTTTTGGAAGCCCAAGCATTCTGGATTGGTCAGCGGTCTCGGTAGATGCTGGCGTAGGTTCTGTACGAAATTGTCCTGCATATTCGGTTCCATACTGGTAGCTGACTGGGGTCAACCTCTCTATTGCTGGTTCAGCCATCATGCCACACTGTTTCAAACTTTGCACTGATTCTGGTCCAGCATCTACCGTTCCGGTAGAATTGCTGTTCTGTACTGGTCCAGCCTCTATCATACTGGTCAAGCCATGGCAGCGAATAGCCCAGTCTTTGCCGCACTCGTCCAGTACATGCCATATTGGTCGGTATTTGCCGTCTGCTCTAGCCATTGTAACATGCGGGTCTGGCGTGTGCGTCGCATCGGTTCTGGTGCGTCGCACCGGTTTGCACTCAGTTCTGGTCCTTGGGATAAATGTGAGAACCATTCCTTTTTCACCGACGTCTGACTATTTGCGCCTTGAAATACGCAGGTGTAGTCTCACGCAGAGGACAGATCGTGTGCGAGATACCAGCCCTCGTCTGACTTCTAGGGAACGCACGCATGACGCCGACTGAAGCGTGCGCACGTGTGGACATTGGAATTTATCCATTCCAATTTGCCCCTAAAATGCACGGTTTTTACGTTTCACCATTGCAAATTTAATTTTCAGGTCAGGTTGTCCCTTCAGATTCCAGCTTAAACCCACCGATCCTGATCCCCCGTCGCTTCTCCCCCCCCCCCCCCCTGCCCAGACACGTGGTTGAACTCATGCCTGTGGGTACTGGAGGTGTGCTGTGTTCCAGATGTTGCACGGGGTCAGCATGTGGTCAGCCCTGGGTCAACTGCGAAGCGAGGGTCTGCTGTTCCTGTACCGCGGCATCTTACCACCGCTCTTTCAGAAGACAATATCGGTCTCTGTAATGTTCGGTGAGTTTGGTGTTTGGTATTGGTGCCGGCCGCTGTCGCACTGCTGCGTTTTTTCCTCATCCGGTTTGGTCTCTGGCAGTGTTCTCATACCTGGCAGTGGTGTTCCGCAGAATTCCTACTGGGATGTGTTGGGGCATGCGGAGCCAGCAGCGTGTCATGTGTGGGCTGTGTGGACCATAGTTGTGATTTGTGATCATGTGATTGTGACTGTGATATGAGATCGCAGCAGTAAATCAAAGCGGCGCCTCGAGGCCGGGCAATGAGATCTAATAAGTTTCGTGTTTGATCGCTCGACGGCTCTGCCCGACTCTTCATAAAATAGCAACCCTGATGAACAGAATCCCTCACGAGCTCCTATGGCTGTCTTTGTATAAAGGTTAATGTGCTACAGCCATTCACGGTTTTTTACGCGCAACATATATCCATGAGAATGAATTTAACTGATCAAGGAAAACCTCATTTTTACGCTAATGATGGCCGTTCTTGAACTACGTTATGCGTGGAAGGAGGGAGCAAGAGCGTGACTGATGATTTGATGAAGCGTAAACAGCCTTTCAACAGAGCGACGATTTTTCGACATCATAACGTTACACTCAGGTGTGCTTGCAAATCATGCTGATATTGTATTAGCATCGTAACTGGGGAGGTGTTTCGTGCCCGGCGTTACCAACGCATAATCAGGCTGGGAGGGACTGAAAATGGCCTAAAATTTGCAATGTTTTGTGTGGGGCAACCCTATATCCCGGCACCACTGTCGGACTGGGGCCACACTTTGTGCGTCCCTGTGTAGGTCCAGTAAGAGACCCAGCCAGTGAGATCAGACCCCAGCCAGGTCAGACCGAGCCGACGTCTGCACGCGCCGTGTCGGTCCGGCGTGCCGGCGCTGACAGCCGGTGCTGCCGCGCAGGCATGTACGACCAGTACCAGCGTCAGCTGGAGGGCCGGCTGCCCCGGCTGGGCCGGCCGCTGGTTGACATGGGCGCCGCCGTGCTGGCCGGCGCCACCGAGGCGCTTCTCACGCCGTTCGAGCGCATCCAGATCCTGATGCAAGATCGGCACTACCACTCGCGCTACGCCAACACGTGGCACGCGGCGCGCGAGCTGCGCGTGCACGGGCTGGCCGAATACTACCGCGGCATGGTACCTATCCTGCTGCGCAACGGCGCCAGCAACGTGCTGTTCTTCGGGCTGCGCGAGCGGCTGAAGGCGGCGGCGCCGCACGGCGGCGGCCGCGCCTCGGCCGCCGCCTGGGACTTCACGTGCGGCGCCCTCATCGGCGCCTTCATCTCGACTGTGATGTACCCGCTGAACGTGATCAAGACGCACATGCAGAGCGGCGTGGGTGGCCCGTACCGGGGTATCGTCGAGACGCTTGGCGAGGTGTACCGAGCGCGCGGCCGCAGCGTGCGCGCCCTCTTCCGCGGCGTGCACGTCAACTACACGCGCTCCCTCATCAGCTGGGGCATCATCAACAGCACGTACGAGCTTCTGAAGGGCTACATGCAGTGAGCGGCGGCTGTCGCCGGTGGTCAGTCCGTACGCGCACCGACCACGCTAGTCAGTGATTGTGGTCGGTGCCGAGGGTGCGGGCGGCTGCTGGTGACCGCGGCACCGCCAGGCGTGCCCCCCCCCCCCCCCCCCCCCCCCCGTGGGACCCCCATCCCGAGCGGCGGCCGCCGACCCGCAGACGATTGTACTGGATTGTCTACACCTCAGCCCATGGTCGCCGGTGTGATTGTATGTGCGTGAGCGAAAGTGGTTTTACTGCGAGGATGATGTGAACTCGTAGAAAATAAATGTTTGTCATTAACCGATGACGGCGCGCGTGCGCACATAGTGTCGATGATAGTCTCGCTGCTGTACCGCGGTGCCTTGTGATGGCGATGTGCAATACATCGGCACCTGTAGAGCCGTCTGAATATCATCCCGTCGAACCCCCTGCTCTTCCCGCCCCCTAGGAACCCCCTGCTCTTCCCCCCCCCCCCCCCCACCGACTTGCGATGATTTGGCAAAGCCTTGGCCTAAGGTGGCTGGCTCGTGCATTCGTTTGAGTTGTGGTTATTTGAGTAAGAATTTCTCGTTAGTTCATGGGGAAAGAATACGAGCCTTGATAGCTCCAATCCAAGATTTCATTCTCATCGGCAGGCTCTGCGTGGCGCGACGGGGTCACAGCTGCCAGATGATCCGAGAAACGGTGATGTTCATCGTATCACCTGGATATTAATTTTTTCCTGACGCCCAAGGCAGAGAATGTCGGAGGGAAAGACATCAGTTGTTTCAAAAATCGCCTCACAGCGTGACCGTGTGCTCCGCAGCTCGTCTCCAAGGGTTCTCCGTCGAAAGGTAACACGTGTCTTTTCTATGTCCGCCGTCGTGCTTGCTGTTACGTCACGGACGACAAATCAGTCGAGGCAGTTCACGCCTAGGACAGTCATACAGCCCCGGACATCGCCGGGCCACTCGTGTTAGTCCGATGGGATAACGGGGGGCCGAGCTGAGTCTGACTATATTGCGTCTGGGCGCGCCGAGCACGACACGACAACGTCCGCACGGTCACGCCTGAGACGCACGTGCGGCTCCGCGGTAAACCAACAGCACATCCTCCCGGCAAGCATCCACAGTTACACCTGAGCCAGACAAGGTCAACATGGCACGACAACACATGGGAGGGGTCTTAGAGTCGAGGTGGGCACATACAGCGTAACAGACCACAGGAGCCTCACCTAAACACGCACAACCACACACATTACCGGCATGCCAACCCCCCCCCCCCCCCCATCCCCCACCTCGACATCATGTCATAACAGCCTACAGTGACGCCTCACGAGAGCCTCAGTTGGACGCGATCCACCACAGCGCGCCAGGTGACCTCGGCCTCCTCGGCGGCCCTCTGCCGTCCTCGCTCCAGCACTTGGCTCAGGTAGCGCGGCTCGGCCTCGAGCCGCGCCCAGGCGTCCCGCACCGGCGCCAGCCGCTCGGCCAGCACGTCGGCCAGCAGCAGCTTGTACTGGGCGGTGGTGAGGCCGGCGGCGGCGCTGCGCACGCTCTCCAGCGTCAGGCCGGCCGCCAGCGCGTGCAGCGTCATTAGGGCGGTGACTGCCGGCCGTTCCGGGCTGGCAAACACCTCCGACGTGAAGTCGGTGAGCGCTAGCTTCAGCTTGGAGCGGATGCGCTCCGGCGGGTCGTTGAGGTAGACGCAGCTGCGCGAGTCCGGGTCCGACTTGGACATCTTGCGGCTGGGGTCGCGCAGGCTGCGCACCCGGCCGCCGGCGTCCTCTGCGGCACGGCCGGCCGGTCAGGGAGGCCGACTCGGGCACACGGACTCATCTCGGAGGTCGATCGGTGCACCTTGGGCTCAGGACGGACGCGAGATGTGGGCAATCGCGGCAATACCGCGCACGGTTCTCGAGTAACAACCCAAAAGGCATAGAAATGCCTTGTCAGAGACGTTCTGGTTCTCATCGCATCCTAGAGTGAACGATCGAATCTTAGCTGATCAGTTCACGACAGCACCAAATGCTACTACATCGACTCACATACGTTTAGGAGTCAGGGGGCCTAGCATTTCAAACCGCTCAATCCACACTTATAGTGGATGTTCAACAAGCAACCACGGCGATGCAAGGTAAACTGACTTAAGAACTGTTTTTCAAACCTATTCCTTTTTAGAACAAGCCTAGGCCTCTGGATCTGCCAATGCTCTTACCATCGACGACAGCCTTGGGATGTGGGAAGAGTTTTCCGAATTGACGGTTGAAAGCCTTCCCCAGATGTTGAGCAAGCTGAATATTCTGTAGCTGGTCTTGACCGACTGGTACCTCAGTTGCTCTGTCCAAGAGAAACCATTAGCCACTGGCGAAATAAAAAACAAATAAACCTCCAAACGGACTGCACGCATTGCTTTGGGGCACGAGGCACGAGTGTATGTCAAATTGTCGCGGGTGCAGTGAAGCCAACACTCAACCAGTACAGACCCAATTCAACGGATTAGGAGCATTGGGACAGCCAAACGGCCTTCTGGTCAGACAACATTCCGATTGGGCACATCCGTGCTAGACACTGATACAACGCGTGTGGCAAGCCTGGATCCTCGCTCAGACGGTGGTTATAAGTAAACACCTTGATCAACTGAATCACCCTGACTGTGAAACACAGGCAAGACTCCAGCTCACAACGGAACTTCGCTTACACCAGTAAGAGGAAAATCATCAGCGGGTGGACAAACACAGACGGCGACGCCCATGGTGTTGGTCGCCCCACGCCTCACGCTTCTAACAACTCACAGCCCCGCGGCAGCCCACGGCAGCCGGCCCAGCGCTCCGACTCGACGTCTCCACCCGGCGCGGCCGCCCTCACCTGTAGAGCAGTATGTCGGCCGCCTGCAGCACCGGGTAGAGGTAGAGGCCGAGCGGCACCTCACCATGCTCAGCGGCCTTCTCGCGGTACTGCGGCAGCTGGCCCAGCCGCGGCATGGTGGTCAGGCAGGAGAGCACCCAGCCGAGCTGCGTGTGCTGCGGCACCGCCGACTGAAGGAACAGCGTGGCCCGCTCCGGGTCGATGCCGCACGCCAGCAGGCCGGCCGTCAGGCGGGTGATGTTGGCGCTCAGGTCCGCCCGCCGCTGCAGGCAGCGCGGCAAAAACCGTCCGTACGGCGGAGGAGGTCAAGTTGTCAACTAAATACTCGGGACGCAAAACGCCGTAGGTGAAATAAGAGGAGCATGAGTGCTATAGCCAATTCGGTGTCACCGTAAGATTTTTTTCATTTAAAGTACGGACACAGACAAAACATAGCAATGACAACCATACCTGAGGCACAGTGAGAGAGTGCAGATCCACTATGCAGAATATCAGCTCCTTGTCAGTCTCCTGCAGTTCGACCCATCTTTGGATTGCTCCGAAGTAGTTGCCCAGGTGGAGATTGCCCGTTGGCTGAACGCCCGAAAACACCCGGGAACTCCTCGCCTTTGTGTCATGCTGGAATCGCACATGCATATAAAATTTAAGCTTCAAAATCACCTGAAGAATGTGTAGTAATGAGCAAACCCCACGCCGAGTGAGTCTTAATGTCAGCTGTCCGGAAATTTGTGACAGCCTTTTCTGGCCAGGCACGCTTATGACGGACTTTAAACAGTGCAACTGCTGATCGTGCCGCCTTGCGGTTTTTCAGTCGCAAGTAGCATGGTTATTCACAGTTGTGCTATTTAGTGTTCCAGGTAATTCTATGTCAGCATACCACCAAGTACAGTTGTCTACAATGTTGGATTATGACAACAAACCATACATCCCCCGTTTTGGGGCCGTCTTGGAGAAAAAGTTTCACATCTCGGAGGCCAAACCAGATTTGACATGAAGCCAGACGGGCAGTGTAGGCAAATGAGCCACATACAGATCACCAGCGCACCTTTATACTTTGCAATAAGTAGTGGCCCAAAACGAGTTCCCTCTTTGCATTTTTGGCAGTACCTGTGCCTGTCACTGAGCTTGCAAACAATCCTCAACTTCATTGCATGATGCTGATTCAAAATGCCTGGTCATGTCAGGCCCAAAGGCAGCCAACAGCAGTAAATGTTTTTTTTTTTAGGTTGTGTGTAAATGCTACATGTAATTACACCTCTGGCTGTTATATCCATGGAAGAGAAACTTCTCAAACTATTTAAAACTCACATTTGTATGAGCTCCTCAAGATCAGAGGATTGATCTGTTTATGTTTTGCATCCCCTATTTGCAAATGGCAAAGATATTTCACATTTGCTATTGCCATGCTCATCCCAGGCCACAAAGGAGTCTTACTGATGTAAAGGATATAAGGACTTACATAAGGGCATGGGAACTGAGGGGGCAGTAGGGACAGCTCACTCACCCCCCACTTGGAGGATCCATGCTTGCATGTAAGGGGCCAATTCTGAATTCCAAAGAGACCATCAAAACCTGTTAAAGCCCAAGCTGACCTGCCAAGGGCTTATTCTGCCAATACAAGATCCATTTGGATCAAAGGAGAGCACTTCAGGGCCTGTGGAGGGCCTATTCTGACCTGTAGAAGGCCTATTATTGACTGTGGAGGGCACACTCTAGCCTGCAGAGGGCCAATATTGCCTGGAGGACCTATTCTAGCATGTCGAGGGCCAATTCTGGCCCAATTCTAGCCTTCAGAGAACCCATTTTGGCCACAAAAAAACATTATGACCTGTAAAGAGCCTGGTATGAGCTGTAGGGGTTTATTATTAACCATTGAGACCATGCCATGAAAGTCCACTCCAGCCTGTACATTGCTCGATGATGATGATGATTTGGGGTTGTAGGGCACATCGACTGCTGAAGGTCATACAGCGCCCATCCTGTACATTGCTCATTCTGACCTGTAGAGTGGGCCATTCGGCCTTGTACACAAACCCATTTAGTCTTATAGAAGCCCTATTCTTGGCTGTGGACTGCCAATTTTGGCCAGCAGAGAACCCATTCTGGCCTATAGAGGGCCCATTCCAACTTGTGAATGACCTAATACTGGGTGTGAAGGGTCAGTTATTGCATATACAGGGGCCATTTAAGTTGTCTTACTGACAGAGACCACTTTTCACTGTGATGAGCCCATCCCAACCTGCAGAGAGCCCATTCTGGTCTGTAGAGAGCCCATTC